CTGCAGCTATGTTGCGGATTGACAGATGAAGCTGCAGCTATGTTGCAACATACTTTAATAATAACCGTCAGAGAGGGCCACCTGCTATCCCAGCTCAATATGACCCACCTTTGTGACAACCTACACTGAACACTGTCAGTGTGTTCTAAACTGGTCAATTGCCATTGGTTTCCCAGAGCAGTAGAGGGTAGGCAAGATCCAGTGATTCAAACATCTCCGCAGGCTTTTTGGTTTTGGACACATGCCAATATGGAGGAAGGAGGAAGTTGCTCATTGCCATCAGTAAGTAGGTTTATATTGAGGAGGTTAATGAGACTGTTTCCCTGCTCTCTTGCTGTGTCTCTTTGGGGAGCTGAGACTGGAATGTTGCTGGTTTGTAAAAGGCCACATCATCTCAATATAATAGAGTGTGATCTGGGTTGGAACAACCTAATGGTTGTTCACAGTCTCTGCCGTTTGCAATAGAACCTGGATGTGAATTGAAGGATATAATCTTAAGGGAGCTTATTGGCCAGTTATCTCACTGTCTCAAAAGTAGTTAATTTATGTACAGCCGATAGTTCAATGGTTTGAATTGTTTCCCTTCTTTAACTCGCTTACTTGGTATCTGTGGATTAGGAAGTGGGGAAGTGAGAGTGTGATGAAACTAACTCGTCAGAAAGTGGCGGGGGGTGGGTGGGGTGGGAAGATGCTGTGCAACAATTCATGGCCAATGTTCCCTGTCTGAGAGAGAAGAACAAAAAGAATGACTGGCAGCACAGGCACTGCCTTGGAGTAACAGCTCCAATCCAAATGTTAACCACGTTCTGCCAAATCAGCAAAGTTTAAATACCTACTTGAACCACATGCACACTATTTTCCACAAAATAAACTGAAAGGGTTCTTTCCTTTACAGGTGTAGATTTGATTACTGCCTGTGACATTCGGTTATGCTCTCAGGATGCCTATTTCCAGGTGAAGGTGAGAGCTTCCGTTTAATAAGTTCCTTTTTCAGCTATCTTATATTAAAGACAGTTAGCAAAACATAACAAAACAATGTTTCAACTTATTTCCTGACGTTATCCGTTCCAGAGACTCAAGTCCAGGCAAATTACTCTTCTAACAAATCTAACTGACTCCTGACAGTTTCTTTGCCATGTAGAGGCAGTTTGATGAGTCCCTTCCAAATCTCCAGTATGAATTTTTCACAAATCCAAGAACTTAAACTCTGTCAGTTCTAATAATCTGCAGATTTCTAACCAAGCCTTCCAGGTTTGGAAGTTTTACAAACTAAAACCCTCTGCTGAGATAATTGTCTCCTGAATTGCCCTGAATGTATTTTTTTCTTTATTCATTCACGGGATGTGATGTCGCTGCTAGGCAGCATTTATTGCCCATCCCTAATTGCCCAGAGGGCAGTTAAGAGTCAACCACATTGCTGTGGTTCTGGAGTCACATGTAGAACAGACCAGGATGGCAGTTTCCTTCCCTAAAGGGCATTAGTGAACCAGATGGGTTTTTCCAACAATCGATAATGGATTCACGGTCATCATTAGACTCTTAATTCCAGATTTTTATTGAATTCAAATTCCACCATCTACCATGGTGGGATTCGAACCCGGGTCCCCAGAACATTATCTGGGTCTCTGGATTAACAGTCCAGCAATAATACCACTAAGCCATCACCTCCCCTGTGAGGAGAATACTTAGAGGAGAAAAGCTAAACTTGCTTCTCAACTCATCACTGTTTTCTGAACTGAATGATATACAAACTTGCTGAAGACTTGATGCTTCTGAACTGAAAACAAAGATACCGGCCTTTTGAGTTTGCTCTAATTGTGATAAACACAACGATATAAACAGCTTTCTATTGACACCACAGGGGTCTGCAGTCATCTGCATTCTGACAAAGTGCCGAATTTAATCACTGTTCCAGAAGGACACTCCGACCTTCCTAATTGGTTTTTAAAAGAAAACCCTTCATAGAAGTGACAAACAAGTTGCCTCGATTTTCAAAACCAATTTCCAAAAATTATGTTAAAGTATAGAGTTGTACACTTTTCATCATATGGTGTCTCAGCAACATATTCCAGTACCTATTAACCTCAGAATTTTCTCAATGTCTGTATTGTGTACATGGACAATTACAATGGGAATAAGCTTGAGAAACTTGTTTAGCCAAGAAATATGATACTCCAGATTCATAGTACCAGTGTGAAAGTATCACCTGGTGCATTAATATCCTTCTTTGATTCTTTGTGCTTTGATTCTTTTGAGTTGCAGTCCCCAACCTGGTGGAGACAGAACCCACAATCAAAGCCTGTGATCAGTTTCAGAACAAACTCTGGCAAAATTATTCCCCAACTGTGTCATATATTGAATAAATTAAAGACGGCATCTCCATCCTCACATCCCATTCCTGAAAACTCCTTCCTTCCATAGGAAATTGTCAAGTTTATTCAGAAGGTACTGTCTCAAACTAACTGCCACCATCAGTAATCTATTCTAGGGATAACTAATTGTTTGTGTTGTTCTCCAGCCATTTTCCACTTCAACTATTTCTGAAAGTCTGCAGTGTCTGCTGTGGCTTGTTGTGTAGCACTTGCACTTCTGAGTCAGAATGTTGTTGCTTCAACTCCCACTCCAGAACTTGATAGTGTAACCATAGTTGACACTTCAGTATGGGGGATTGAGGGAGTGCTACGCTGTAGGAGGTGCTATCTTTAGAGTGAGTTGTTAAATTGAAGCATCTTCTGCCCCTCAGCTAGTTATAAAATATCCGAGGTTACTGTTATGAGGCTGCGTGCCCTGGTCCTTATTTATCCCTGAACTGCAGCTTATGATTGGGTCATTTACTTCATTGCTATTTGTGGGGTCCTACTCTGCACATTATCTGTCATATTTCCTACGTCTCAATGCTGTTTATATTTCAAAAGTACTTCTGAACTGTTTGGAACATCCTGAGGTGGTAAAAAGCAGAATAGTGAAAGCTTTTAGTGTTGATGAATATTTATGAGTAAGTACTGCTTCACGTTTGCTGAATAAAATTGCACAAATTGAAGCCTATCCTTTCTACCTGTCTAGGAAGTAGATATTGGAATGGCAGCTGATGTAGGCACTTTGCAGCGACTGCCCAAAGTTATAGGAAATGCCAGGTAATTTTTTTTTTGAAAGATGTTCTTTGAAAGGGTGTGGGCATTGTTTGAAAGGCCAGAGTTTGTTGCCCGTCACAAATTGCCCTTGAGAAGTTTCTGGAGAACCACTGCTTTGAACTGACACAGTTCAGTTGGTGTAGGTTCATCCACAGTGCTGTTGAGAAGGAAATTCCAGGATTTTGTCCCAGTTACAAGTTTATAAACAGCAAGACGAGTAACGCAAGCAGACTCTTGAGAGGTCCAGTCTCTGCCTCTGTTACTACACAATTGCATTCCTGCCTATTTCTTTGTCACCATCTTTCCAAATATTCTTCATCTTCCTTTATTTTCTCCTGTTCTCCTATTCATTCTCTGCTTCCTTGCTCTATCTGACTTATACTTTAGTACTGCCCTTCTGTATGCTGATTACCAACTCTGCTATGTATAATAACAAAATAATAAATAATAAAAATGTTTTCTTTGAAAGAAAACAGATCCAGGTGAGAATGACACAGGAGTCACAGAACAGAAATAGGCTACTGGCCCAACAGGTCTGTGCCACCGAGCCTGCTCCCACCACTTTATACCTAACTCTGTCCACAAAACGTTTTGTATCTTTTTTCCTTGAGTCTGTATTTATCTTCTATTTACATAACTTCGTACTGTTCACCTCAACCTCTGTGGGACAATGTTCAATTATTACTTCCTGAAATTTCTCCTGAATTTCCTATTAGTTTGATAATGACAATTTTAGACTAATGACATTGTGTTAGCTGTTACTCAGTTGGTGGCACAGGCTAGGTGTTTCAGCTCCTACTCTAAAATTCTAGGTTGAGAGCTAAGGGAATGCTGCACTGTTGGAGGTGCTGTCTCTCAAATGAAATATGAAATTGAGACACCATCTGCCCTCTTGGGTAAATATACAATATCCATTTTGAAGAAGAGAAAGGGTTCTGACCAGTGACCCAGCTAATATTTAGCCCTCAGTCAATACCAGTGAGAAAACAAATAATCTTGCTGTGTGCAAGTTGGATACTTTGGCTCTTACAACAGTGATTGTAGTAATATCTTTGCAGGATAGATGAAAACAACTTGTAGCATTTGAAAGGTAATGTCAAGCTAAAATCAGTTTACTTTGGTAGATATATACAAATGGCCACAAAAGGGTGCTACTATACTCCTCCCTCCTTAACAAATATGTTGCACAACGTTCAGAATTCTGTATAACTTGCATATATCTCTTGTTTTCCATTTATTTACAAATCTAATTTAACCACTGGTTTCCCTTTCCTAAGGTGATCTTGACGCAAACTTTCAGGGAAAGGAATTTGACCTGTCTTGGCTTGTGACTTGTCTTTTCTCCAGGTTAACGGAGTCTAAAACTAGAGGGGCATAGGTTTAAGGTGAGAGGGGAAAGATTTAAAAGGGACCTAAGGGGCAACTTTTTAACACAGAGGGTGGTGCATGTATGGAGTGAGCTGCTAGAGGAAGTGGTGGAGGCCGATACATTTATAACATTCAAAAACATCTGGATGGGTATATGGATAGGAAGGGTTTAGAAGGATATGGCCAAATGCTGGCAAATGGGACTAGATTAATTTAGGATACCTGGTTGGCGTTGGACCGAAGGGTCTGTTTCCATGTTGTACAGCTCTATGACTGTGTGGCTGAAGGGAAGTTTTCTCTAAAAGAACTTATTTTGCCTTTGACCTGCAGTTGAATTTTTCCTTTCATCAGACGTGTCAGACTGACTCTGACTTGGATCTGAACTGATTTCAGGAACAATTGTGAAACCACGACCGTACAATTATCTATGAAATAAAAGCAAAGTGCTGGAGAAACTCAGCAGGCACAGAAATTAAGTCATAACATTAACACTATTTCTGTCTACACAGATGCTGCCAGACTTCTGAAGTTTCTGCAATGCTTTCTGTTTTTGTTTCAGATTTCTGGCGTACGCAACAATTTCCCAGCAAAAAAAATGATCCTCACAATTCCTCTACTGGCTTGTTAGAAGCTTCCCAACCCCAATGTTTTCAGCTAGTGTCGCCCACAATCCCTACCTTGTCACCAAATGCAATATATTTGCAGGACAGCCTGAAACAATGTGCAAATACATGGAGAGTGAACATCAAACTGGAACTGATTTATTCTGGTACATACATACATGCAAGGGCCAAAAGAGGGTGCTATTAGTAATATTGGCTGTAAAGAGCTTTGGAATGACCTGAGATTGGGAAAGATACCTATAAATACAAGCCTTTCTTTAGGATTCCTTGTTTTAAAGCATCTCCCACTGCCACTATCTCATTCCCAAAAGGATTAAGCATTGTCCAAGTTTCTTCTCTCAAATCAATATGCTACTAAACTGAAGTAGGATCCAAACTGATTGGTCAATGTCAGAGGCACAAATGATCCTGTAGAATGGCAGCTTGTTTCAGTCCGAGGCAGATTCTCTTTCCCATCAGAGTCAAACCAAGTAGCTACCCAGAGACCGGAAAAGACTAACTCCATCCTTTCTGCCACTGTTGGGAAAGCTTTGTGGTCCAAATCTGGCTGTAAATCAGGAACAAAAACAAAGTTGCTGGAAAAGCTCAGCAGGTCTGGCAACATCTGTGAAGGAAAAAGCAGAGTTAACGTTTCAGGTCTGGTGACCCTTCCTCAGAACCATTCTGAGGCAGGGTCACCGGACCCGAAACGTTAACTCTGTCCATTGGTTTAGGGAAGGTTGGAATTTTCAGTACTGGATGTATTTGCTTTTAACCAGCAGATATATTGGGGTTGAGGGGGGTGTGAAATGAAAGTTGAGTTAAACTATGAATGGATTTATGATCTATTTTTCCTATTGTCTTTTCTAGTCTGGTGAGCGAACTGGTTTATACAGCGAGGCAGTTGATGGCGGATGAAGCACTGAGCTGTGGTCTGGTGAGGTAATCTACCTGGTTCCATATTACATTCAACCTTATGTCAAACTAGTCACTGTGTTTATGACCTGTAGGTGCAAAGTTGCAGGCTTCATTGCACTATGACCTTGTTGTACAGCCTGCTCCTGTTTGCTACTCACATTCGTACCTCTGACATATCCAGGAGCATCTTCGTCAGGCACCAGAGCTCTGTTAACTACTCCTCGTAGAAGAGAAGCTGAACTAGGTCACCCAGAGCCTTAGCAGGTTAATACACCTCATGCTAGCCCGGTTCACTGATGGCTGTCAGACAGCAGTAGTTTGTAGGTTTATTGCCTATTCTAAAGACTTGAGCAGAGTTTCCAGACCACCACTTTCAGTGTCATGATGAGGGAGCCTTGCATGGTCACCTTTCAGATCAGATTTTAAATCGGAGATCTGTACGCCCTCTCCAGTGGAAGCAAAAGATCCCACTACATTCTTTCAAAGAAGGCCAGGTGAGATAATCCAGTGTTTAGCCCTCAACTAACATCAACAAAACAGATCATCTGGTAATCACATTTGGGGATCCTGCCTTGTGCAAATTGCCACAGTTCCTATTTTATAATATTGGCTACACTTCCAAATACTTTTAGGGAATTGTAAGGTCTTGAAAGTCCACATAAATGCAAGTTCTATCTATCCATTGGGTTCTAAAACACATTCCAAAACAAATGTGCATGAATATTCTGGCTCCGTAAGACTGAAGCCAAAATGACAAGGGTGATGTATGAGTGTAATATAACAGCAGGTCATTATAAGGACTAATAGTATGATGTCTCCATCTGTTAGCGAATAGGTTGGTGCAGTGAGTGCCATTGCTCACAGGTTTTAAAAGTGTATCCATATGATTGATTTATTCTCATGTTGGGCTTGATGTTGAACATTATCTGAATGTTCTATGTTCCACAGTGCTCAGCAGAAGTATATTCCAGTGATAAGGAAGAACTGTAGGAAAAGAGAGAGCCAGCCATGGATGTCTAAGGAAATAAAGGAAAGTATCAGATTGAAAAAAAAACATACAAAAAAACAGAGTAGTGGGAAACTAGTAGACTGGGAAATCTTTAAAGGCCAACAGAAAGCCACAAAAAAAGTTATAAAGAAATGTAAGATAGATTATGAGAGTAAACTAGCTCAGAATATAAAAACAGGCAGCAAAAGTTTCTGTAAATATGTAAATCGTAAAAGAGTGGCGAAGGTAAACATTGGTCCTTGAGAGGATGAGAAGGCCAATTTAATAACTGGGAATGAGGAAATAGCCAAGACATTAAACAGTTATTTCGTGTCGGTCTTCACAGTGGAAGACACAAATAACATGCTGAAAACTAATGGCAAGAAGGCTATAGCAGGCAAGGACCTAGAAACTATCATCATCACTAAGGAGGCATTGCTGGGCAAGCTAATGGGGCTAAAGGTAGACAAGTCTCCTGGCCCTGATAAGATGCATCCCAAGGGTACTAAAAGATGTGATGGGGGAAATAGCAAATGCACTAGTAATTATTTACCAAAATTCACTGGACTCTGGGGTGGTTCCCGCAGATTGGAAAACAGCCAATGTGACGCCACTGTTTAAAAAAAGTAGACAAAAAGCAGGTAACTATAGGCCAGAGATAGTAGGAACTGCAGATGCTGGAGAATCCGAGACAACAGGGTGCAGGGCTGGATGAACAAGTATAGGCCAGTTAGCTTAACTTCGGTAGTGGGGAAAATGCTTGAATCTATCATTAAGGAAGAAATAGCAAGACATCTGGATATAAATTGTCCCATTGGGAACACCCAGCATGGGTTCATGAAGGGTAGGTCATGTTTAACTAATTTGGTGGAATTCTTTGAGGACATTACTTGCATGGTGGGCAATGGGGAACCTGTGGATGTGGTGTATCTGGATTTCCAGAAGGCATTTGACAAGGTGCCACACCAAAGGCTGCTACATAAGATAAAGTTCCATGGTATTACCGGTAATGTATTGGCATGGATAGAGGATTGGTTGACCAGTAGACAACAAAGAGTAGGGGTAAATGGGTGTTTTTCTGGTTGGCGGTCAGTGGCTAGTGGTCTGCCTCAGGGATCAGTGTTGGGACCGCAATTGTTTACAATTTACATAGATGATTTGGAGTTGGGGACTAAGTGTGGTGTGTCAAAATTTGCAGGTGACACTAAGATGAGTGGTAGAGCAAAATGTGCAGAAGACACTGAAAGTCTGCAGAGGGATATAGATAGTCTGAGTGAGTGAGCAAAGGTCTGGCAGATGGAGTACAATGTTGATAAGTGTGAGGTCATCCATTTTGGTAGGAATAACAGTAAAATGGACTATGTTTTAAATGGTAAAAAATTGCAACACGCTGCTGTGCAGAGGGACTTGGGTGTCCTTGTGCATGAATCGCTAAAAGTAGGATTGCAGGTGCAGCAGGTAATTAAAAAGGCAAATGGAATTTTGTCTGCCATTGCTAGAGGGATGGAGTTTAAAAATAGGGAGGCTATGCTGCAGCTGTATAGGGTCCTGGTGAGGCCACACCTGGAGTACTGTGTGCAGTTTTGGTTTCCTTACTTGAGAAGAGATATACTAGCACTGGAGGGGGTGCAGAGGAGATTCACTCGATTGATTCCAGAGTTGAGAGGGTTGGATTATGAGGAGAGACTGAGTAGACTGGGATTATACTCATTGGAATTCAGAAGAATGAGGGGAGATCTTATAGAAACATAAGATTATGAAGGGAATAGATAAGGTGGAGGCAGGGAGGTTGTTTCCGCTAGCAGGTGAAACTAGGACTAGAGGGCATCACCTCAAAATAAAGGGAAGCAGATGTAGGATTGAGGTCAGGAGGAACTTCTTCACCCAAAGGGTTGTGAATTTGTGGAATTCCCTGCCCAGTGACGCAGTTGAAGCTACCTCACTGAATGTTTTTAAGGCAAGGCTAGATAAATTTTTGAACAGTAAAGGAATTAAAGGTTATGGTGCGGGTAAGTGGAGCTGAGTCTCAAAAAGATCAGCCATGATCTTATTAAATGGCGGGGCAGGCTCGAGGGGCCAGATGGCCTACTCCTGCTTCTAGTTCTTATGTTCTTATGTTCCCCATTAGGTCAGAGGGCACTTGCACTGGCTGTTGTGACACTGAGCTCCATGTACTAAGATCTTGGTCTTGATCTGAGTTATTGCATCTCAGCTGAGACAGCAGTTGTCCTTGGCATTGTGTGTGGATTTTAGTGGATCTGTGCTTTGCTGTCATGCCACGTGTTTAGATAGAGCATCAGACCTCATGTGAAGAATGGCAACTTGAATAGAGTACTAGAGGCCTGTCAGGCGTTTGATATAGTTCTTAGGGCTAAAGGGATCAAAAGGTATGGGGAGAAAACTGGAACATGGCACTGGGTTGATTGATCAGACACTTGAATATTGAAAGGCAGAGGAGGCATGAAGGGTCAAATGGCCTACTCAGTTCTTATTTTCTATGTTTCTCCTTTCAGAACCTATCACATTAAGGATGGTGATGACAGCTGTCCACAGTGAGGTGTGAAATGAGATTTGCACTGTATTATCTCATTTCAATTTGATTGGCTGAGGACCATTATGTTTGGATCTAATGAGGCCTGAAACCGAGAGATAATTACCACTATCTGTCAGCCTTCTTTTGGCAGGGTACCTGCATCAATTCCAGATCTTGTTGATGTTAGATTTGACTTTGCTTGCCCCTCTCCCTGCCCCAAATAATTTGGTAATGTTCCAAAGCACACTGACCCCTGAAGAATGTACACTGAAGAATTGGCATGTTGAACTTTGCCAGTATGAAAAAGACTAATATCACAAGCTTTCTTTCTTTCATCTTGTCTGAAGCCGAGTCTTTGAAGACAAAGAAGCCATGTTGGAAGGTGCCTTCGAGATGGCATCCGAAATAGCTAGCAAGAGCCCATTGGCAGTGCAAGGAACGAAGCTGAACCTGATTTACTCTAGAGACCACTCTGTTAAGGATGGTTTGAACTATATTGTGAGTATGAGACAAATGATTGAGGTTGAAGTAAAGGGTCATTGGACAGCATTGCAACAGGAACAACTTGATCTCTCATCCCCTCTCGATTGGTGTGTGCATGTGAGACAATTAAAGATTGCAATGGAATTTCCACGCGAGAGGTATTTTTGAATATACCATGAACACCTTGAATTAAACACAATTTTATTGGACTCAAGTAACTAATATTGCTGCTTGAAATCTCCACATGGATATTCAAAGAAGAGCCTGTGCTTAACCACTTATTCTGTTTCTGTGGGGACACTTTGAGTCTCCCATGAGAATATTCCAGAATATTGGAAGTGCATAACCCAAGGTCATGCAGTTTCATAGTGAACATGAACTAACACAGCCTATGTTTTGAAAGCTGAAAGTGCCTTTTAATTTCAAAGACGCAACAGGATCTGGGTAGACCATTTCCGTCTATGTATTGTTTTCCCTGTGTCCATCCACATCTTTTAAAGTAAATGCCTGTTGGATGAACAGTACTATTCTCCTCTTGGTGGATTTGGAGCCCGTGGCACTGTTTCAAAGTGGGCAAGGCATCATGTACTTTTTTTTTTGTATTTTTTTTCTCATTACTTATACATCCCCATTGGCATTGCTCACCAGGATTGAGATACTGTGAACCATTTGATAAAGTATTTTTGATGTTTGAGGTGACAGTACCTCAGCTAAATAAATTCCCACACATTTCGATGGCAATTATTCATTCTTAGTACTCTCTCATGATTTCCTTTCATTAACAATGAACAGGATTCACTGAGGCTATCTCCTTGTTTCCCTCCAGGCCACATGGAACATGTCAATGCTACAAACAGATGACCTTATAAAGTCAGCCCAGGCTGCAATGGAGAAGAAGTCCCCCAAAGACGTGCCTTACTCCAAATTGTGATGGAAAAGTTTCAACATATCTGTTCTCAACTTGCACAAGTAATTCCTCTAATTCTGATTTTGAAAACAAATAAACTTACAGAACATTGCCTACTAAAAAATTATTTACAATGCAGCTGCTATCGGATCATTCTTACATCCTGTGATTTTATTTGCCATTGTTTTCGGCTTTTTGGTTTGTAAATCCTTCAGTAATCATGGTAATCGTTACAGGGAGATTGAGGCATAGTGGTAATGTCACTGACTAGAAATCCAGGGAACATGGAATCAAATCTTACAACAGCAGCAGGAATGGAATTCAAATTCAATTAATAAAATTTGGAATTAAAAAGTCAGTCTCTGTAATGGTGATCATAAAATTGTAATTGATTATTGCAAAAACCCATCTCGTTTGTGATGTTGTTTAGGGAAGAAATACGCTTTCTACCTGGTCTGGGTCTACATTCAACACTAGACTCTCAATGAATGCAGTTGATTCTTACCTCTCCTCTGAAATGGCCTAGCAAGTCATTCATTTGGGCAACAAATGTTAGCCTACTCAGCAACGCCCACATGCCGTGTAAGAATATGAAGAAGAACAGTAAATGTGAAAGTCATCACTTTTAATGTAATAAATATTAAACAATAGGTCCTCTTGTGGCGCAGTGGTGGTACTCCTACCCCTGGACCGAGGGGCCCAAGTTCAAATCCCACCTGCTCCAGAGGTTTGTAATAACAGCTTTGAACAGATTGATTAGAAAAATAGGTTAAGGGTTAAAACGAAGGTTCTTGTGGCAGTGTAGTGTCCCTACCTCTGGGCCAAGTGGCCTAGGTTCATGTCCAATCTGCTCCAGAGGTATGTAGTAACACCTCTAATAGGTTGATTTTTTAAAAAAGTGTTAAATCACTTACAGCTTTGGAAAGGCATGATGTAGAAATAAGATGTTGAAAGTCCACCCAACTTTGTTAATTTATGTACAGTCATGATAAATTTTTATCCGTCAAGTATTGTTGCTAAATTATTTAACAGTCATTATTTCATTGTTGCTTATTGGCATTTGCTGTGCTCAAATTAGTTTGCGTTTTCCTGCATTACAACAATGGTGATGCTTTCAAACTATTTAATTGTAAGTTAAGGATTTTGGAATGTCTTGAGGATTTGAGACAATATAAATGCAACACCTTCCTTCCTTTCTTGCAGTTCTTGTTCTTACTAGTTACAGTTGCTTTCATTTCCACTTGCCTATTGAACAGTTCTTCCATATTAAATTGCTGCTGTGAACCTTTGTTTCCTGACCTGGATATGACAGAATGAAATGTTTTCTTAAGTTTCTGAAACATGAGCAATATCACTTCTTGTCCTGGCCAAGCAACTTGAAGGAAGAACATGAGGGAACCGGTAGCTCTGAAGTGGCTGGAGGAGATGCATGTCGAAAGATGATGGCCCCTGAGATTTTCCTTTGCAGAGCAGGTAGTGGTAAGTGAACTTTCTGAAACAGGTGCAGAATTTTCATGGAGAAAGGAGGGCATGAGAAATACAATAGTATGAAGCTACTTATGGAGGCATTCCAGAAGCTTACAATCTCCCATCGGGCTGGCCATCCTGGGATTAGAGGTATGTTGCAGCTGATCCAAGTTTTCCAGTAATACAGAGTCATACAGCATAGAAACAGATCCTTCAGTCCAACCTGTCCATGCTGAACATAATCCCAAACTAACAAAAACAGAAGTTGCTGGAAAAGCTCAGCAGGTCTGGCAGCATCTGTGAAGAAAAAATCAGAGTTAATGTTTCGGGTCCAGTGACGCTTTCTCAGAAATGGCATCTGATGATCTTCTAGATGTGGATGTTGGTTGGAAGGTAGGTAAGGACAACAGGAACCCTATTGCTGTTGCGGGAGGGAAGAGATGGGGTGAGGGTGGAAGTG